TCAGCTAGGGCTACAGGGAGACCCTGTCTCAAAAAGACCAAAAAAAAAAAAGAAAAAAGAAAGAAAAATTTCAGAGCATGATGGCACACACTTACAAACCCAGCATTCGGGAGCTAAATCAGAGGACAATAAGTTTGAGAGCAGCCTGGGAAGAGTGGAGGGAAAGGGAAAGAGGAGAAAAAAGAAAAGAAAATGAAGATACCTTTCTATTCAGGAATAATTCTCACAAAAACAAATGGTAATCCATTGACTTGCCAACTTATTAATTCACTTATGCAGCAGCAAATGTTTTTTTAGGCACTTACTATGTGCCAGATACTAAAGCACACATAGGGAAGAGTGACAGGTAAGACACGGATGCTTCTTGATGTGGTGGAACTTTCTAGGCCTAGGCCCTCACTTGAAACTTCAGGCACTGCTGGTTAAAAACTCACACCTGAGGTGGCATGGGAATGTCTTTGCCCATGGACCTGCCCACCCTTCCAGCAAGCTCTGGCAGGGGGAGGCTGGTCTCGTCATCCTGTTCCTGCTGTGCAGGGCAGAACAGTTAAATGCCTTACTGAATCTTAAAAGGCAGAGTCAGTTCCCTGCTGCGTGTGTGACCTAAAAGCCAGTTCCTCTGAGTCTGCACTATTTTAGCACAGTGCTTTTCAGTATGTTATAAAAATTAAAAATAAATAAAAATAAATAAAAAAAAAGTAATTTTTTCAATAACTCTAATACCAGGTGGTCCATTTAGGAAAGACTGCTATGTTCTTTGGGGAACTGCTCCATGTAGTAAATTGCCAGCAGTAACTATCTACTATTTCTGTAATTAAAGATGACACAAATATGATGAAAAACATTTACCACCTCTTCTAGGGTCTAAGGAGTTTCTCTGACCTACATCTCACCATCCATCCTGTCCATGGACATCCATTCATGTCCCTGGTGGTCCAGCCAAGTTTTCCTCAATACATTGCCCTCTGCTCAGCCCAACTCCTACAAACACAATGGATACCCCACCAGGCTCCACCAGATCTGCTCCATCTCCTCTCCGACTCTCTCTCCCCTTCCTCACTCCTTCCCTCCCTCCCTCCCTCTGCTCCAGATTCCCTGGCCTCCTCAGGGTGCCACAGACTCCCCAGGCCAGTCCTGCCTCAAGACCTTTGCACTTCCACAGATTTCACTACAGTTCGTGTCCTCCTTTAGACTAGGTCAACGCACCTTCCATAGGAGGCACCTTCCCAACAACAGGCACCATAAGCTGCAGCCCTGCCATCTGCCCTGAACCCATGGTCTCCTTTCTCCTCTTATGTCTCCAGAGTACAAGTATCACCTTCTAATACACTGGCAAACATATATCCACACCGGCATCTTTCCATCATTAAAACATGAATTCCAGGGCTGGAGAGATGGCTCAGTGGTTAAGAACACTGACTATTCCTACAGAAGACCCAGGTTTGAACCTCAGCACCCACATGGCAGCTAACAACTGTCCATAACTCCAGTTCCAGGGGATCCAACAGCCTCTTTTGTCCTCCATGGTCACTGCACAACACGGGTGCATTTACCTACATGCAGGCAATACACGCATACACATAAAATAAAAATAATAGCCAGGCGTGGTGGCATACGCCTTTAATCCCAGCACTCGGGAGGCAGAGGCTGGCAGATGGTTGTGAGTTCGAGGACACCCTGGTCTACATAGTGAGTTCCAGGACAGCTGGGGCTACAGGGAGGCATTGCATGACATGGGTGCACTTACCTACATGCAGGCAATGCACTCATACAAATAAATAAAAATAAATAAATAAAATATTAAAAACAAACAAACAAACATGAATTCCACAAGGACTGTGGCACTTGCAATCCCAGAACAGGACTGAAAATGTGCCGCTGACACTCAACAAAAACCCTACTGAAGGAAGCTGGGCTGCCCAGGACTCGAGATCTCTAAGATGGAAATGCCTTGTAAGAGAGGCATCTGGTGGATCCCAAGCTAACACAGAACACATTACAAGGTCCCATTTTCTTTCACAGCCATGCTGGACACAATATTGATTTGGACATGTTTGCAACACCTGTGGTCAGAGCTGGGAACCCAAACACCTGTCTGGAGCACAGGGAGGCCTTACCTCGATTCTTACGCTGTCATGCTCCACGGTGAAGTCAAGCCTGGAAGGTGCCACGTCAAATGTGATCCTCTCTCCTCTGTAGAACGGAACCTGAAAGGAGAGTGGTGATTAAGAACCAGCAGCATAAGCCAGGCAGGCGTGTTGGCACATGCCTTTAATCCCAGCACTCAGGATGCAGAGGCAGGTGGATTTCTGTAAGATTCATGCCAGTCTGATCTATATATCGAGTACCAGGCCAGCTGGAGCTATAGGGAGATCCTGTCTCAAAAAACAAAACAAAAGGAACCAGCAATATGACCCCACCATCAATATACACCTCGGTCTAGCAGCCAAAAAGCAAACCCCGAGAATATGGACTGCAGCTAAGTAAAGGAAGTGGGGAGCTTTGCTCCAGCTGAGGGGCTGTGCATCCTGGGAGCAAACATGCTATGACCAGAAGTGCTCCTCACTGAAAAACTTTCCAGATGCCAGAATACTTGCATATGCACCATGAACCACTTGGGGATGGATACAAGTCTAAGGAGGAGATTCCTTTATACCTTACACATACCTTACAGACAGCACAGACCGTGTCTTTGATAATTTTGTGTACAATGTGGAAGTTTCCATTTGTAGCCTCATGTTAGCGATCAAAAACTTTGCAATTTTGGAGCATTTCAGATTTGGGACTTTAAGGTTACAGATGCTCGGTCTGTCTCCTCTAGGCAGAGTGTCCATGAACAGGAGGCCAGTCACCTGGTCCTTCGATACCTGTTACAATTCAGATCTTAAACCTTCCTCAAAGGCTGTGTGTCAACAAGTGTATCTAACACACAGCCTGTGGGCCAGTGCCACACACAATAGCTGTAGATATGGCCCAATACACTGGAGATGATATGGTCATGTGGCAATGTGGCAGGTTGGACATCCCCTGCTAAAGGCTTGGCTGTCAGCCTGTAGTACTACTGGGAGGTGCAGGCATCTTTAAGAGACAGGGCCTACCAGAAGGAAATCAGGCCACTGGAGCATGCCCTTGAAGGCATATTGGGACCCCCCCCCAACCCATTCCCTCCTTGTGCCTCCCAGTCTGCATACTGAACAGGTTTCCTCCACCACAGGCTTCCACCACACCCTACTGCCTTGCCTCAGTCCCAAAAGCAACAAGGACTCAGATCACGAGCCAAGACAAACCTTTCCTCTTTAAGTTGCTTTACCTCACAGGTAGTCATAGTCACACAACACCCAGATGGCACAGGCTCTTCCCACATCATACTGTCAACACAGAAACAAACTGCTCACTCACCACAGTGTAGCCCCCACTCGGCAAGGAATAGAAGGAGAACGAGCCATCTTCTTTGGAGACCGTGTAGCACAGATACAACAAGCTCTCATCCTGGGGCTGGAACCCAGGCACTGGGGACACATTGCAGCCCAGGACATCCTATGTCAGGAGAAGAAAAGATTCCTTTTCCATTTCCACATTCTAATTACCCACCAGCCACACCAGAGGCCAGGCCAACTTTTATAGGTCAATGCATGTATTTCTCAACTCTAGGGTGGATTTGTGCAACCAAAGGGAAAACAAATCTTTATATTCAACTGTAAAAGTTAAAAATGAAGGGCTGGAGAGTTGGCTCAGCAGTTAAGAGCACTGGTTGTTCTTGTAGAAGATCTGGGTTTGAATCCCAGCACCCACATGGTGGCTAACAAATATTTGTAACTCCAGTTCCAGGAGATCTGGCACCCTCTTCTGCCCATAGGCATTGCACAACACAGGTACAGTGTACTTACGTACATGCAGACATGACACTCATAAACATAAAATAATTTTTTAATTTAAAAACAGGTTATCTTCTCAGGAAAAATGACAAGGCTGTCCTTCCCCAAAATAAGAAAGCAGGCTCAAAAAGGGAAGTGACAGACCCAAGATCCCAGAGCAAAAGGTACTTGTTGGAACCTGAGCGCTATATGAACCTGATTCTATTTGGTCAAAGCCTGAGGACTTCACTGAACTCCACTGCCTTCAGTGTGAACAGCCAATGGAGACACACAGTGTTTTTAAACATCAAGGCCATAAACTATCCCTTGTTGTGCTCAACAGCAGAACCCCGCTTGCCACCACGCTTTGGGACTTTGCTTTCCAAACTTACCTCTTTGGTCACTAAAGAAGAGAAGAGAAGAAACTTCACCCCTTTCATGGGCTCCCCATCACTTCTGACAGAGCCAGATACATTGTAGCCAGCCACTACAAGAGGACCAGCAGCATTAGCATTGGAGTTGGTCACACGCACTGTGGTGCTCGCCTATGAAAGGAAAAGGTTTTAACTTAAAAAAGAAGGAAAAAAAAAAACCCAACAACTAAACCTTTGCAGTTAAAACAACTACTAAACTTTTATAGTCAGGTGTTGTGGTTCACCCTTACAATCCTCATACTGGGGAGCTGAGGCAAGATTACTGTGAATCTGAGGTTAGCGTGGGCAGACAACCTGGGTTCAGTTCCCAACACCTACTAGCATGGTAGCTCACAACCATTCATAACTCCAAATCCAGGGGATCAGATGCCCTTTTCTAGCCTCTGAAGAAGCTGCATGCACAAGATACACATATATAATACATGCAGACAGAAGATGTATACACATAAATCTTTTTTTAAAAATTCAAACACAAAGCAGTAAAATAAACTTGAAAATTTAAATACTGAAAGAACCACTGAAAATGCTGAAAGAATAATTCTAACACTCAATTGTGACTTTATGCAATTATTTGACATATTAAACCAAACAGGAAATCATTTTTCTTTTCATAGACACAAAGAGTTTTCACTGGATAAAGGTGAACTAAAACCATTTATGTATGATTCTTTGTTACTTTCATTAAAAAAAAAAAATCCAAGCTTATTCATTTCTACACATTCAAGTTACAGGACCCATTATGTGGACAATATTCTAAAACACACAGAACAAATGTCTTCTTATAAGAAGTCTGGACAGGAGCAGAGATGGCAGGACCCACATCAGGCAGCTCCAGGGGGAATCTGATGCCCTCTTCTAGCCTCTAAGGGCACTGCACTCATGTGCAGATACCCACACATAAAAACATATATATAATTAAAAATAAAATAAATCTTTAATCCCAGCACATGGGAGGCAGAAGCAGACAGATCTCTGTGAGCTCAAGGCCAGTTTGGTCTACATAGTGAGTTCCAGGCCAGCTGGAGCTACAGAGAGATCTTGTCTCAAAGAGACCAAAAAATAAATAAAATAAATCTTTGAAAAAAAATAAGAAGTCTGGATAATGCAGATAGTGCACAGTACTTAGCACAAGGTATACTGTCACCCATGTGGCAATGAAATGGCAGCATCTAAAGGGAAGCAATGAAGCCTACAGTATAACAAATGTGCTTGGCTTTAAAAACCACAGCCTTCCATCAATAAAACTCATGTTCCTTCATGTATGTAATTAACACACAAGGCAAATCTAAAATTTATTCTAGGTAAATTATTATGTATGTGGAGGCTCTTGAGTTTTAAATGTTGCTCCAGAAGAGAAAAAACCCTGAAACTTACAAGTTATAAATGCTAAATACTGGGCCTGGGAGATGACTAAGCAGATAAAGGCACTTGCCACCAAGCCTGACAACCTGAGTTTGATCCCAGGACCAACATGATCGAAGCTGAGAACTAAGTTGCCTCTGACCTCAAGTGTGATGTGACACACCACCCCCAACATATAAACGTAATAAAAATATTTAAACACTATGTACTATGACTTGATACCAAATTATACCAATTATGAATACACACAACCTGTGACAACTTTAATACTTGAATCTTCCCTTTTTTTGTTTTATGCATTTAAATGTTTTGCCTAGTATAGAGAAGTGCACCGTGTGCATGTAATGCCAGCAGAGGCCAGAAGAGAGGCATCAAATCCCCTAAAACTGGAGTTTGGGTTATCATTAGCTACTATGTGGGTGCTAGGAACCAAACCTGGGTCCTCTGCAAGAGCAGCCAATGCTCTTCACCACTGAGCCATTTCTGCAGTCCCTGAATCTTCCCTTTTTTGATGGTGGTGCTATGGAAGGAGCCTAACGCCTCCTATGTGCTAGGCCAATGCTCTACCACTGAACAGCCCAGCCCTCTGCAGCTTCTTTTGGCAAGAAGGAAACACCACCTCAGAACCAACACAAAAGAAAACAAGCATGTTAGGATGGCTTTGAACTTACTTTAACTTATTTTTTCGCAGCTATGATAAAAATCCACCTAGTTGATTTCATCCCTTTTGGATTTTTCACAGCAAGAAGATAACACTATCACCTAAAACTGAAACCAACACCAGTGGCACTAGCTGTGGCAGGGGAGATCCCCCAGAAACTCCCACACCCTTAGCACCCCTGGTTCTTCAGAGACATCTGGAAAAATTGTGACCTAATTTCACATCCTCAATTCAAAGTCTCCACCTTTGTCCCCAAACTAGAACAGCACTGGCATGGCCACAGACAGCTCAAATGCTCACCTCCTTCAGCGCCCAGGTCGGATGAGTAGCGAGGATTTCATAATCTCCAGGAAGAACTTTAAAAAATGCAAACCTGAGAAACACAAAATGCACTTCACTTTCTCCAAGCAACCTGCGTTTAAGACTATGACCAATCCAGGCAGCATAAGGAAACAGAGTAGGAATTAGCACTAACTTCCTATTAGCTACTCAATCCAGTTCTGCTCTGTCCAAACCCATGTGCAAGCTGTGTGCTGAGCACTTCCTGTGCACAAGGACACATGGCAGGTGGCCCTGTGAGCAGACAGCAAGGAGAGGGCTGACACTCGCCAGCATCTCCAGTTCCAGCATGAACTCATCTTCTATCAGCCAGGTTTGACTAGCATGAACAAGAAGGAGCAGGAAGGAGTCTGGGGTGGGCTTGAGATCTTACAGTCTTGCCCACTTCCAGCTCTCTCTCTGCTTTGTGTGTTTGCAGGTGACCATGGGATATCTCCGCTTCCTGCCTGTGACTGCAGCTATGTCTTCCTGCCATGATGGACTATTATCCCTCTGGTCCTCTAAGCAAAAATAAACACTTTCAAAATCAACTACTTTGCTATAATAAAACTGAACGTGCCAGTGGCTTTGGGCATTTTTAAGATTTAGCCTTTTCTTTACTTCCACAGTGTCCCCATGTTAAGCTCTTAGCATTGCTTAGAACGCACAGGGTAAAGGAACTTAGAAAGTTCAAGGTGCTTCCTGGTAAGGTCTACAACAAACCACAGCTGGATCATTCTCATTTGAAATCCTAAATCCAAAACACTCCAAAATCCAGAACTTTCTGAGCACCAATATTCCACAAGTAGAAAATTTCATACCATGAAATTATTTCACGTAATAAATTATTTAAAATATTGTATGAATACCTTCACCCTATATATTCAAGATGTGTATCAAATATTAATGAATTTTATGTTTAAATGTGGGCCCCATTCCCAAGACATCACATTATATCACAGGGTGGATATAAAGTGTCCCTGAAGTGTTCACAGGTGGGGCTTTGGTGACAAGCTCATGAGGGCTCTGACCCAACCAACAGATTAGACTGATGAATTCATAGTAAGATGGACTTCTGGGAGGTGGTGGGACCTGTGGAAGGTGGGGCTTCACTAGGGGAAGTGGAGGGCTAGGGGGCAGGGCCTCACTGGAGGAAGTACGTCACTGGGGACATGCCTTCAAAGGGTCTACCTCACCTCATCCTTTCTTTCTCTGCTTCCTGTCTGCCAGGAGGTGAGTGGCCTCCTCCACCATGCCCTGCTCCCAGGTGTCCTGCCTTGCTAAGCCCCAAAAACATGGCAGCTAGCGACTACACCCTGAAACCAAGAGCCAAGCAGATCTTTCCTCCAGTTGTGCATGTCTGCAACAAGAAACTAACATACTACACAAATGAAAATATTCCGAAATCTGAAAGATTCCACATCCAAGCATTTCTGGTCCTAAGTACTCTGGTCTAGGCATACTCAGCTTGCTCTAGGCCAGGTAAAAAGCACAGCTCCACACTCCTTAAAAGATAAGGACTGAGCCGGGCATGGTGGCACATGCCTATAGTCCCAGCACTTGGGAGGCAGAGGCAGGCGGATCTCTGTGAGTTCAAGGCCAGCCTGGTCTACATAGTGAGTTCCAGGACAGCTGGGGCTACAGGGAGACCCTGTCTCAAAAAGACAAAAAAATTAAAAAAAAGATCAGGACTGGGGGGCTGGAGAAATGGCTCAGTAGTTAAGAGCACTGACTGCTCTTTCAGAGAACTCAGGTTCGATTCCCAGCACCCACATGGCAGCTGCAAACCATCTTTAGCTCCAGTTCCAGGGAAATCTGAAGCCTCCTTCTGACCTCCACGGCATTGCACGACACAGGTACACTCACATACGTGCAGGCAATATACTCATACACATAAAAATAATAAAGTATTTTTTTAAAAAAAATATCAGGACTGGGAGGCACCAATCATGGAGAAACATTATTTCAAGACAAAAATAAGATGAACAATATTTTTTAGGCGGGTAACTTACTGAGAAACTGAGTATCAATTTCTATGTCGCTATTTTAGTCAGGCTTGTGTACTGACGTGGTAATACTTTGAATTATTTCAAAATTATCAGTTCCCAACTATTTTGGTATTAATTTTGACACATCTGTTAACATTTACAACTTAACTATCTCCACTACACAGATCCATTAAATAAGTCCTTTAAATTCCACTCAGCAAGGTTAATTAAATAATCATCAGGTCCAACTACAAAACAGTTTCGATGTAAGTGATAAAACACTGTTTTTAAATCATAATTGCACTAACTTATATTGAGCAAACATTAAACACAAACTGCAAGCCAGACAATTTGAAGCAATAATACTAATTTTCTCAGTAACCTCTGAAGTAGGTTCTACAATTATCTTCATCTACAAATGAAAAAACACCGCACAGAAGGTACCTTGTCCCAGGTCAAAAAGCACATAGAGGAGCCTAGATTCAAACTCAGGCTGCTGGGCTTGCAGGGCTACCCCCAAAGGTTAAATGATGGCCTACTAAGTGCCAAGTCTGAAACAGGGACTTTATAGACACAGTAGGTGATAATCACTCCATCCTGTACAGTAGAACCAATGACTCCCACTTCATGAGGATGCTGGGCTCTGAAAGCATGAACCTGATCAAAGCTCTCCTACATCTGCCATAGCCTGGTTCTAGTTCCCAGGCTATACATCAGGACACTACTCACTTTCCACCAGGCTGTGTGACCGTAGACTGGATCTTCGCATCAGTGCCTGTGCTTCTCAGAGATACCTGAACTCCTGCAGGGCCCAAGGGCTGCCCTTTGCTGAGGACCTATGAGAAGAAGTTTAGACTGACAGGTAGCACAGCCCTTTAGACAAGCATCCCTCCAGGAAAGGCCCCCATCCAGACAAGGTACTATTATTCCTGCTTAGTCCCCAAGTGACACCTGGAGCCTTCTTTGGGTCAAAGGCCTCTTTGAAGAGTATATAATCATGGAGCCCTTGTGAAGGGAACAGAGACAGTAAAATAATACTATACTACTGAATCTAAGATTAAAGATGTATCACTATGGGGCTGGAGAGATGGCTCAGCAGTTAAAAATAGTATATTGCTCTTGCAGAGTTTGGTTCCCAGTACCCACGTGAGGCAGCTCACAACTCCAACTCCAGAGGAATTCCACACCTCTGGCCTCAGGCACCTGCGTTCACATGCACATACCCCAGACACATGCATACACATGCACATAATAAAATAAATCTTAAAAATATCTATCACTATTTTACAAACCACTAAGATAGAAAAAAATACCCAAGATTCCCCTCTCCAGTAAGAAACCCACATGTGTAAACAGAACTGAGGGCCTCACTCTTAACATAGAGAGAAGTAAGTCCACACCATGAGGACCACAGCAGTAAACAAATGTTCTGTCCACTCTGGGAGTTGGACAGAGGGAAGTTTCTCTCTGCTGAGAATCAGATTGAGAGCAGTGCTCACACAGATCAGCACCCTGACTCACACTACCCAAGTGTTCTGGAATACCTCAAGAAGATTACGTTCTCCAGAGATACTCTTGGCAGGGGGAGCAGGAGTCAGGAAGGAACCTCCTCTGGGGGGAGACTCCTCTTGAGGGAGGCTCCTCTTGGCAGGGGCCTCCATTAGGGGAAGCCTCCTGTGAGGGGGAGCCTCCTCTGGTAGAAACTGAACTTAGCTCACCCATAGCAAGGGCAACAACCCAGGTCCCGGGCTGCGTGCTCCTCCCCAAAGGAGCAACCCCAGAAAATTCCATTCCCAGCATTTAAACTCTCGGACAGGGGGATGGCCCCAAACTGACTGCACTTGCCACAGCCCAGTGCTCACTCTGAATGCCCTGTGGGTGCAAGCACCCTGCTTCTGTAAAGGCTGAGAGATGACACACCACAGAGCAAATGAAGAAACAGCAGAGCCTGAAACCAAACCTTTCCATTCACAGAGAAGCCGGTGAACACAAAGTTGACGTCCCCGCCCTTTGTGCAAATGTCGCTCACACCATCCACATGCAGCTCCACACTGGTTGGCTCTGGGAGAAAAGCAGGAAGGGGAGAGGTAGGGATGGGTAGGAGACAAAAGGCAATTTTAGTGCTGAGAACACCTTCCCCAGTTGGTTCTTCTACTTACCCCTACACTTACCACTCACATGATTCAAGAACTAAAATAAAGGTAGAAGTTGTGAAGAAGTTTCCCTCCACCTCAGACCAGCCACCTGGTGTCTAGCCACAGAGGGAATCAGGGCTCACCGCTTCAGAACATAACTCTAGCTAAGGTGTATCTTAGAGTCCGCTGAGAATTCACTAAGCATTGCACAGTTGTTTCTGTTGGGTTTTTGTTGTTTTGTTTTTCTTGTGTGAGTGTATGTGTTATGTACATGTTCACATGGGTGCGTGCACGTGTGTATGAAACATAGAGATCAACAATTGGAACTGACCTCTTCTTCTATCATGCCCCACCTTATTTTTGAGACAGAGTCTCTCACTGAACCTAGAGAGCACTGATTCAGCTAGACTGGCTGGCCAACAAGTCCCAGGGACGCTCATGTCTGAGTGCCCCCAGCATGCTACCTGCTCAGCTTTGACATGGATCTGAACTCAGGACTTCGTGCTTGCACAACAAGCACTTTACCAACTGAGCCATCTCCCCAGATCCCGAGAACCAGTTGTTTTTTTTTTTCCTTCACTGAATGTTCACCATAGACAAGGCGCTGCGATGAGTACATTGAACTCTCACAACTATCTCAGGAGATAAAGGCTCTTACTGAGGGGTAAACTGAGTGACAGAAAGGATAAAGGATCTTTCAGAGTCACAGGGAATGTAGCAAAGCTCCAATCCCCTCTAGCTCTAGATCTGCCCATGACCAAATACCCAGATTCAGCCACACTAAACAAGGAACATGAACTCCACAGCATCAGGAGCTACACAGGAGGATGTGAGCAGCACACACTAAGTGGGGGACAATGGCATGCTCAACTGTGCCAACTGCTGCCACACCACTCCACACTGACAAGAGGTTCCAACCTCACAATCATAAATGTTGAGTAAGATCTTCTGATATATGAATATCAATACCAAATTCATTTTCTTTAGAAAATTGAAGGGTTCATCCTAATACAAATTGAAGTTGAGCTTTTCAGTCAGTAAAGAGCTTGCCATACAAGCAAAAGGACCTGAGTTTGGATCCCCAGCATTTACATAAAAAGAAGGGAATGGCAGCATGCATCTGAAACTCCAGCGCTGAAAAGGTAGAGAGAGGAGGATCCCTGGAGCTCACCAGCCCAGGCAAATCAGTGAGCTCCAAGCTCAGGGAGAGACACCACCTCAAAAATAAAATAAGTGGTAAAGCAACCAAGAAACACAGCCAGTGCTCAACTCTGGCATACACCTACACATCCACATGAACACATCCACATGTATACATGTGTACGTACGTACGTACACACACACACACACACACACACACACACACACTTAAAAACAAAGAAAGAGGCTGGGCGTGATGGCACACACCTTTAATCCCAGTACTCAGGAGGCAGAAGCAGGCAGATCTCTGTGAGTTCAAAGCCAGCCTGGTCCACATAGTGAGTTCCAGGACAGCTAGGGCTACAGGGAGA